AAAAAAGAGAAAGAAATTCAATGTGGTGTGCCGCAATAAAATAATATGACTGTAATAAAACTTTATAGGGTATACATTTCTGAAGTTTAAGAACTAAATGGCTGTAAAGCAAACACTACGCGAGAAAAAACGGAAGAAATTGTGAAAAACGTTTCAGGATTCTAATAACTGTAAGGCAAAATAATTTGCGTAAACACTGTGTCTCCGTTGGGGGAGCCTGTTTTTTTCTTCCCCTTTCTCGCATTTGTCGTTTATTGTGTACAGCGTTTGTTCTTTAGCCGTCCAGATTCCTTACAGAGTAAGGGGTCGGGATGGGTGAGATCTGGACTTCCACATGAGAGCCCTGAGTCCAATTCAATCGACGCCCACCCTTTGTTCCATTTCCGAACGCACTACAGCCCTTATAGCGGGCCATAAACTGCCGCAAAAAGGATTTCTGGCGAGACGTCTGGGATGACCAACGCTAATTTGTTTACAACCTTTGGGACCGGGCTCGACTCTTTTGTAGGTATACATCCGTTTGTGCCTTGGTGATACAAAGGCCGACTGCTAAAGAAAAATATTTCATTCTCTCAAAATCAAAACCACACATTACATTAAATTTCGCATAGATTCCCTAAAATGTTCACTATAGTTTATTATTTATAGTATTTATAACATTCAGTTTATTGTGTTTATTAGCTGCTTTCATGTAGTCTACATGAATAGCAAAAAGAATTTAAGAATTATAACTATGTCGTGGTGTGTGGTTTGGTGTTGTATAGTGTAATATAACTAGCTACCTACATTATCAATGATGCGAATAATAATGTAATAAAGCTTTCGAATAAATAGAAATCTAAATATTTCTTAAAAAACACACACACACACACACACACACACACACAAACACACACGTATAATTGATCTCTGTGGTCAGAAGCTTTTAAAGCCTGTCAGTATTGACAACTAACAAAAGGAAAGTCAACATAATGATGATGATTACTAATAGTATTTTAGTGATGCTGGTGATACAATAGTGCACAAGAACGCAGCCCAAATAAAAAGGGGACGTATTTATGCATGGAAATGTTATTTCGTGGCCTGAATACTTTTTTTTCCTAACGTGTGTATGTAATTAAAAATAATACGTGAAAGGCCGCTAGCATCATCTATTATTATTAGCCTGTTGTTGTTATTATTATTATTATTAGTAGTAGTAGTAGTAGTAGCAGCAGCAGCAGGTTTGGTAATGGTACTATTAATAGCGGTAGTAGTAGTTGTGCATTAATATAAGAAGAGTGGAACCCAAATAAAAATTGCACATCATGGACGGACGGAATGCTTTTTG